ATACGCTATTTAGATCCTAAAAATTAGTTTCCTTTCCTACATGTAACAATCGCGAAAACCTTTGTAATCGAAATCAAAAGGTAAAGTAACAGACCAGACTTTATAAAGAACACTCTGTGGGAATTTTACAGGTGTTTCGCAAAATGCACCGGTATGTGTAGTAAGTAAATTCTTCATAAGTCTTACTATGGTCTTACTCTGTTTACTGCAACGTCAATATGAGTACTAAAATGTTTTATACAGTGTAGTGCGTCCATATACAAATTTTTCAGTTTGAAACCTAACCAAGAAGAAGGCAGAAGGAACAATATATTATAATTAACGATTTCCATAAAATATTTACTTATGCAATGCACGTATCACTTATGACAATCACGACCGAGTACCCATGATGGACACTGATGTGGAATATTAATCAATTAAAGCCACTTACATACTCTCATAATAAGTAATAGTATGTGACAAATCAAAAGCCTTGAAAGCTAACTAACTTTTCACCTCTTGCCCACAATTACCCATAAATTAATAAAAAAAGTACCTAAACAATAAAGGAAAATTTATGCTCTGATAAAATTACGTTTATTGTGTGCTTACATCATACTTCATGTTCGCATATTAGAATATTGATCTTATGCGTGTCTATTTTATATAAAATTTTGTAATCTTTAATTAACCTTCAACATTTTTGCGTTTTTTTGACGATTCACCAATTTATGATACTTTAAGTCAATGTAATACCAGGGGTTGAAAAAGCTAACCGTTATAAGGGCATTTCTCCTAAATTCTTTGACTCCGATGGTCGAATTTTTTTGTTAATTTTAGAAAAAACTTTGAGCGAGAAGGAAAACGAACTCAAACTTACATAAGATTCCATTATTAGGGCAACTAGATTTTTAGCAGTTAATAATATATTTGATCCACCTAATTCAGCTACCACCGAAATAAGGATAATTTAACAAAAGGCATAATTTTTGTATAAAATATTATGAAAAAGGCAATAAAAGCTTTCAATTATCTACAGAAACATTTTACTATTATGACTTACCTTAAATCAAGCTTAAAAAACTTGCTTAAAAACTAAAATTCCAGACCAGGATGACGCAAATAAATTTCACTTATGACTATTAATTAAAATTGGTTTTCAGTTTGACTGTTCAGCCTTTTTTCAATTACACAAAGTATATCCGTATCTCTTTTAAAACAATTTTTAGAACGCAATTTGTAGCTACAAAAGCTACTCTAACGCTAATCAGTTTTTTTGAACTTGCGTGATTAATATCTTTCATTGTTTTTATACATGACGAGGTAATTCATACAACTTCAAAATCTTTCCTTCCGGTTTTTCTTCGCATACCTCTGTCTATCTTTTTCTTTAAACTTTTGATATTATAATTGGATCGCTTTTTATCTTTGCTTTTCAAGCACGTTCCATCATCTTCATGATCTCTTTGATTTTTCTTCTGTTTTGATTTTCCCTATTCATTTTGGGCGGGAAGCATGTCAAATTGTGAAAATCGATAACAATAACTAAACATTTATATAAAAAATCGCATGAAATTCTTGGTTTTCAAAGAAAATATGGCTTCGATGTCAGTTTTTTTCCGACTTCGGTGGAAACTTTTCTGAATTCGGTGGCATAAAATTCACCAAATCTAAGGCCACGGGAATCAGAAAATATATATATTTTGATATTACTCGTAAACGACAATACTGTAGAACCAATCAATTGTTGCTATATTTTAGTCGTTACAACACATAAAAAATATTACATACAACTATAAAATTTAGTTTTTGAAATATCCTGTACACCGAATTAAAAATCAACCTGGACCAAATCCACGGAATTACGTATTTACACGCAAAAAAAATCGGCAACAAATCATCCACCTGTTCTATTCAGGGCATGATGGACGAATAATTCGTACGAATTGCGAAGCTTCTCAAATGCTTCACTTGTGATATGTAGCGTGATTAGTAACGACCACCGAATTCAGATTAAAAGTACTCTGATCTAATTTATTATACGTGAACCAAAGTCTAACATTGATATACGGTTTAAATTTTGAGAAAAAATACATTTCTGTTGGATTCTGCATTCGGGACACGCCGCCATTGTCAGGTTTTAGGCATTTCGGATTTTTTTTCTATTAGTTCCGAAAGGTTTATTGTGAAGATTTTGTGCTCTCCGACCTATATTATATACTCTATTTTTTGTAGATATTTGTTTTGACAGATAAGTGGAGTTTAGTGCATGGACACGGACACAGAAAATTGCGGGTTTGGGGAATAGGCGTTTGATCACAAAGTAAAAGCAAATACGGTGAAATTTGCAATGTTCCAGTAAAAGATTTCGATAACAGGAACGTTTTCGGTTATGATACCAAGGGGCGAGACGAACAAGTCGTGCGCCTGGAGGTAAGCGACACGTTTGTCCATAATAGTTGTGTGCCACAAAGATCTGAGGGGCACTGCCACACATTACTGTTTGGCGGCAAAAATAAGTAAGGCGGCAGTACTTCCCTTGACGAACTCTTCACAAGGAGCTCTACTGCTACTAATTCCAGATAAAGCATGTTTACGACTATAATAAGTAATTCGCTTACACAACCGCGGCTACAGACGCCTTCCGATTTCATGGCTAATAGAAACAAAATTTCCTACTTTCATAGTTCAATAAATATGTATCTTTTATTTAGTCATACTTATACAGTCCTCATTTTTATACACATTTTATGCTAATCTTTAACAAAGTACATACACTTGACCCGCATGGCAGTATGCGTACGTGTGCCGCGCAGAAGCAAATACCTCAGCTAGCAATGCAGATTAATAATAAACACATTTAAGTGAAAATTATGTCATCGATTAACTAGTTACTTACTGAGAAATTCATGCAAATATTTTAAAATCACCCCGGTGGATGAGAGAATATTTCTTATCTAAGATAATCTCAGTATAGAGTACTAAAAAACCGACCTCAAAAGTTCGTGGAATTATATCTATTTGCCAAGTTTTACTGAAATCGGTCACCGGAAAGTGCGCGAAACCAGATTCATTCCTAAGTTTGCCACCCTTAGAGGTGAAATATTTTCATCAAATTTAAATGAGACCACTACACCACGGTACCCTTTTTCTAACAAAAAAAGAATCATCAAAATCGGTTCACAAATAGCATAACATATATACGTCGAATTGAGAACTTTTTTGAAGTCGGTTAAAAATAATTTCAAAAAACAAAGATTTACAACAAGCACATAGAAAAATTCGTAAGGTCCGCTAGTTCGTTCCGTAGCGTAGTTAGCTTAGCGTCTGGTACAGTTTGTTGTAAGAGGTTGGTTCGAATCCAGCCGAAACGAAGGAAATTTTTGTAAGTGTTCGATCTTTGTATTAATAATTAATACAAAGTAAGTAAAATAATAACATTGCCACCTTTTTGTTGACTGGTCACGTTGTAAGGCACAGGGCGCATGTAACTATATTTTTTAGACAAAGGATTTATTAACCTAATAGCCAGCAAATTAAATATGTAGTGTTGTTCTCATTAACTTATTTTCGTAAAATATTAAATTATAAAAAAAAAATATTATAATAATTACGGGTTATACCGGAAGTACTATACAATAATATTTTCATCACACTTACACATAAATAGTATGTCTGCGTGCAGGCTAACTTGACTATAATGCCCCAAATAAAACCCTCGCGCCTTTTTCTTCTCACTACCGATCATGGCTGTAATAAGAAGAAAAAAGGCGGGAGGTTTTTATTTGGGGCATTATAGTCAAGTTAGCCTGCACGCAATTATACTATTTACTGGCGAATGTGATGAAAAATGTAGTATTTTTCACGGGCGGTACGGCAATTACGAACCTCGACTCCGAAAGTTCATTCAGAATAAAAATTTTAATAGAGATGCGTTCGTAATTCCTTATTTACAGCCCTCAATACACAATTTACTGAACAATAATCAAATAAAGTAAAAACAAAAGAAAAGATCCTGCTTTTTAACAATTAATTTATTAGACGGCCAGGCACCATCTAAGAATTACTGAAATCATATTCTTGGCCGGTGTCAAAAATAACAATTCGGTATTGTATAATACAATTTCAATATGTTCAATTATATACCGGAGAGGTTGTTTGGTATTAGCGAAAATAATAATTGAATTATCTAACAAACATATAAATGAATTTTTTCTTTATCAAAACCCGCGGGCCCTTACAGGTTTCACGGTCACAGCTGCAGACTGCGGTGACTGCAGTCAGCAGAAAAGTTGTTCAATAAAAAAATATGTAACTTTCGCAAAGACTTAAGAATCCGATATATCTAACAAACACTTTTATTTAAGACTGTACAGAGTACTAAAAAACCCGACCTTAAAAGTCATTTATCCCATTTGCCACCCATATAGCTGGAATATTTTCTTCAAATTTAAATGGGACCACATTTGAGGTATCCTCTTTCCAACAAGAAAAGAGTCATCAAAATCGGTTTTAAAATGCCATTTATCGCGTAACATTCACACAATAAAAAAACACAATGAAATTGAGAACCTCCTCCTGTTTTAAGTCAGTTAAAAATTGTCGTGTTTCACTAAACTAAAAACTTTTGTCCGTAGCAAACCTTTTTAAATACTTCTTAAAATTAGAACACTACGTTAGAGAATTTTCATCGGTGACATGCTACGTTAAGTATTCTAAAGAAATTTCATTAGTTACATGATGTAAACTTTAGATTACGGAACTTCAAATTTGGCTGTTTTGGAATTCAAATTAAAGACGCTTTCCCGTATTCAAACTTTGATCACGGAAAATATCACAATAACACAATTATTTTTTTATAGTAGTCCAAATATTTTTTAATCTTTATTTTTACAAAACGTTACGTTACGTTTTACAAAAATCAACATTTTTAATAACAATTTGAAATATTTTGATGGACACTCAAAATTTGAAACTGAAAATACCGAAATTAAACTAGCTAAAATAGAGTGACTTACCTCAAACAATCAGCTGTTGAATCAATGTTACGATCCGTTTTCAAGTATTTCGATGACCGGCGCGAGCGCAATCCCGCGCGATAGACAACGCGCCGGCGACTTTACTAGAGTGATACTGCACTGAAAACACTCTCATACACATTGCGAAGTCAAATAAACCTTGCAGGTACGCAAAAGTGAGTCATTTTATATCCTGCGGTTGATATAAAGTCTTACATTCTGTGTCCTACTATTATTTTACGTCCAGCATTACAGTCCAGCTTCATCCAGCTAGTGGTTAGGGAAAATTTAATAAACCGTTTTTGTTACAAAGGCAGTATTAATATGTAAAAATTTATCTAAAATTACTAAATTGGATAAGTACACTGTAGACAATCAAATTTAAGTAAATAAAACGCATCTTCTTGCATGACAGATTTAATGCTGGCCATAACCGCAAGTCCAGGAATATTCTGCCTGCTCCCCAAAGAACAGAGAATTCTATTTTAGTCAGCAGCTGTATATTCATTCTATTCCCAAGCAATTAAGTAAGTAATACTTCGAACTTACATACCAGACACGTAAGTGTACAGTACTTATTGTAAGGCTTTTTATAACAATAAATTATTATTACTTTGATTATCTATTTTAGACTATCGCCTCTCATATGGCCTTTTTTTTCTTATTATAATATCAAGTAACAGGACGAACAAGTAGTCGTGCGCCTGATGGTAAGCTAAACGCCTGTTCATAACAGTTGCAGTGCCATTCAGAGTTTTAAATCGCAAAAATCTGAGGGCCACTGCCACTGCGCCAGACACCCTGAGCCATAAGTTGACAAGTCCCATGTAACTTCACCAGCACCCTTACCCTTCAAACCGGAATACAGTAATGCTGATATTACTACTTGACGGCAGAAATAGGTAAAGTGGCAGTACTTCTCTGAACGAACTCTTTCACAAGGAGGTCTGCTAATCCTAAAAGCTTAATTTTGAAGTTTTAAACGGGAGTGGCGGTCTTCCTCTGCAATGACATCTATTTGGGAGCTACGATGCCACAGATGTAGGCAGACACACAGATACACAGAAAACTTATAATCTAATTTTAACTGCCTCCGTGGCCAAATGGCTAGTTACCATACTGGTCTGTTACGCAGGAGTCCCGGTTTCGACTCCCGGACCAGAAGAAATATTTGTACGACCTACATTTATTTCCCTCGTGAGTTTCGTTGTAATATGTGGTTGTCAGTGTGTGTCCATGACTCCCACGACACAAGGTTTTCCTAGTGCTGGGCTATGAGTGTATGCGTTATTTATTTATGTAATTTAATGGCGTCGGGGTTTAGAAAATAACAAAGACAGCTCAGCGCGTTATGTGAATGATTGTATTAAAGATGATGAACTCTGATCTCCCTATATGACGCTCTACAATTATAATAATTAGTAATTAGATTCATTATTTTATTGATTCTGCATTACTTTATGAAGATATTTTATTATTTTAAAGAATTTAATACTTTAATTATTTAATTTATTTCTGATTATTAATTTTTAAGTTTAATAATTTGCATGTCTAAGTACATTTCGACGTCTTAGCTGCACCCTTACAGGGCACATGTAATGTGATGTTATTGTATGTTCACTAATAAATAAATACTGAAATACTGTGATTATCACGTACCTATGTACTATTAATATTTATTCCTTGTATTAAAAATACGCACCTAATATTAACAAATATTTATTGACAATGACGTCTGGTAAAGGTTTAATATCAACTATTATTATTATTATTTAACTACTATATAGATTTATATTCAAATAAAGTTTGTCTTACTTATCGTTTTGACGCATTCACTAAGTAGACGCGAAATTTGCAAGATCAATATGCTTGCTGTTCTCTTGTATTATTTATTACACAGTAAAAGACTGTTAATAACTTAGAATTATTTATACCTATCATGTAACTCAGGAACCAGTACAATGAAAATGATAAAGTTCTTTTTAGTTAATAATTTGTTGGCATTTTATTCATTTCAGCTTAGTACTTAAATATACTTATTGGAAAAATATTCTCAACCTAACCTACGTTAATAGCAAAATGTGCTTCACTTTAGTAATTGTAAATGATAAGGCTTGTACTAGAAACGCTTGCTCAAAAGGTACAAAGCTGTGGCTTTTATTTTAGGTATACTTGTGTGTGTACAGCGAAATGAGAATGTCGCTTAGCGAAATCAGAAGCAGAAGGCTCGGTCCACAAAATTTATTCTAAGAAATGTTAAAAGAGGAAAAACTGTAACTAATAAAATTATATAAAAAAGGTACAATATTATAAAACACTCCCTATAAAAGTAACTAACACAATACACATCCCAAAATGGCCTTTAAAAACTTTAAATAATTTTAACTTTAAATAATTTTAAAAAATAAGCCTAAAAATAATAGTAATCGACGTGAAGTTTAAAAAATCGACGTCAAAAGTCATTCATTCCCTAGTTTGCCACCCTTAATATTTTCTTTAAATTTAAATGGGGACACGGACCACAAATGTTACCTCATAGGTACCCTCTTTCCAACAAAAACAGAATCATCAAAATCGGTTCAGAAATTATCGCGTAACATCCTCCCGACAGAACCTCCTCCTTTTTTTAAGTCGGTTAAAAATTACGGTGATTTGTGATTTATGGGCACGCTCTCTTGTTACAAGAATTTTGATGGTAGTGACGACGAATAGAACAAACGTAAGAATAGTGAATAAAAATGTAAACGACTGAAAATTTAAAAAGAAGTGGTCAGGAAACAGAAAATAGGTTGATAAAAAGGTAAGGTGACGATGAAGGAGGTCATCCTACCGAATCCAAGCAAATGTTTTAGTTCTAAACTTAAATAACCCAGTTGCTTGAATTTGAACCTGACCTATTTTTTATATGTAAGGAAGAACGTCGTGCTATAATTTAAAAAACTCCTTAGCGTCCATGGCTGTAATGGGAAGAAAATAGGCCCGAGGGTTTTATTTGGAGCATTATACTTAGTCAAGTTAGCCACCATGCAATCATACATTTACGAGCAAGTGTGATGAAAACAAATCTTACGACACTGCACTCCTGGTATAACCATACATCTATCTGTATGGTTAAAAAGTTACCTCAACGCATGCGCACAAGCTGTAAGTCTGAATACCAACAAAACAGATTAATTGAATACGGGAAGCGATAATGAGCGCAATGACCGTATCTCAAATATTTGTACAGCTTCGACAGACACGCAATAATACCTTTCAATGGTTTCAAACCATATTTAAATCAAACAATAAAATTCTAAGTTGTTAAATAGATAAGGTTGATGTACTTGTAGACTGGTATGGTAGAGACACACACGCACAAAATTGTCCATTAAAACAACCTTTTGTAGAAATACGCGATAGCCTAATTTGTGGCTAAGTGTTACCTTACACAAAGCCAATGCTTTAGATAGGCAAAGTAATAGGTGTTTTCTTCGAGTTTCTTTCAAACTGATGCAATCGCAGGAATGGTGGTGATTAATTAAATAACATTTTAACATTGATACGTATCTATTTTACGAACTACTAACGGACGTTATTTTTGATAAAATAGTCTATATCTAATGTACGTAAGTACCTACTATAACAATCTATGACTAGAGTTTGAAAGTTTCTACTTGATTACTCCACTGCATAATCATCCTCGAAATTAAATGCACCATTAAACAACGTGTATAATGCTGTTTAGTTTATCTTTCATAAAGTAATAGTACATTGTGTATCAAAGATGCAAGCAATAGTACATTGTGTAGCAAACACGCGTATTGCCATGACGGACTAAAAAAAATTGTTAAATTTTTATACATAAAATAATTAAAATCAAGTATAAGAAATTCTTAACAATAAGTCTGTAGTATGTAGCTGAAATTTGGATAACTTTCTAAGGGAATGTTTTAATTTTGAACTTAAGTAACCTCCTTGCTTGAACTTGACCTATGCAACCTATGCAAGGAAGTATGTCGTGCTACAAACGAAAAAAAAACTCCTTACCGACCAAGGCTGTAATGGAAATAATTTGGGGCATTATAGTCACTTGACCGCCATGCAATCATACTATTTACGACGAAGTGAAATGAAAATATAATAGTATTATCGACAATGACAATGAGATAACCCAAGGAGATAACCAAGGGATAACATTAAATTCATAGAGATTTTTCACAACTCGCTGTTTTTGACACAGACTTGAACGATTCTGTTTCATGTATCCAGTTAATAGAATAATAAGTAGTAGGGTAATTTTTAGATAAGTTTTTGTACTCAATTTTGGTGGCAATTTCTTTTGATTTAATTAATTATAGAATACCATCATGAAGTATTATTTAATTATTATTATAAGTAAGTATTATTTAACTGCCTCCGTGGCCGAACGGTCACCATGCCGGACTGCCACGCAGAGGTTGCAGGTTCAATTCTCGGGCCGGGAGAAATATTTGTATGGCCTACATTTATTTCTCTCGTGAGTTTGGGTGTAATTTGTGATTGTCTATGTCTGTGTCCATGGCACCCGCGACACAGGATCTCCCTAGTGCGGGGCGATGTTGAGTGTGTGCGTAATGTAAAAAAAATTATTCGAGTGTGGTAACCTGAAATATTCTTTAATATTTCACGATGATATATTCGAGAAATTAAATAATAAAAATTGCCACCAAAATTGAGTACAAAAAACTTACCTAAACTAAAAAAAAGTTATTGAGTACGTAATCGTAGACCAGTAATTTTCAGGTAAGTACTCAGTGAGTGCTTAAAATCACAAAGATCTGAGGGGCACTGCCACTGCGTCCATCACCATGAGATATAGGTTCACAAGTCCCAAGTGCCTGTAATTTCACCAGTATACTTATCTTAATGCTGTCATCACTACTTGGCAGCAGAAATAGACAGTACTTCCCTGGACGAACACTTTCCCGAGGAGCTCTACTGCTACTACATATGTGAGAAAATCTTACAATTTTAATTATTATTCAATTCCTGAATACGTTTTTAGCTATTCAGAATAAGAGCTCATTTTAATCGACTTCCAAATCGTATGTTTGTGGCGCCTCATGCGACAATTCATGA